AAAAAAAAAAAAAAGCCAGAAAAATGAAATCCAGTGACTAAGGCAAACTGGTTCAATGATGTTCCTGCCATTAGTAGATATGCATTAAACTGAAAAACTGGAGAGAAGTAATAAGGCCTCTTCCAAAAAATGAACATGCCATGCTTTAGTTGCTATGCTTTCTCATCTAGCTTCCCCTTCTCTGCAGGTCCCACATGGAAAATATTGCATGCTACTAGCTAACTCCAAATATGAGAAGGTTTTATTTATTTCTGCTTATTCTGTTGTCATAAGAAATTGCTCTAGGCTGCATGTGTATTCCTCTGACTGGCAATAAAAAAGGGTAATGTTCACTGGTTTTGCTTAAGGATACAGTATTTTTTGCACAGCTGCAAAAATAATAGAAGTAGCCAGGAAACGCACTAAATTGACTGGCTCATTATCCAAAATATATTGTGGTAGTAGCATCCACAGTTCCAACAGCACTTTACCATTTCTCACGTGAATCATACAGCACACAGACACTGTACTCTACATGAAGCTTTCTCCAATTATTTTGTCCTATTCAAAAACATCCCTCATCTAGAAAAACAAGAATAATGAGCCATACAGAGTGACAAGGCATAAAAGAGAAGAAGATGGAATGACGCGTTCAGTCAGTGGTACAATCTGTGCATAACATAAATCAGATTTGAAGGAGCTGGCAAAAGACAGAAAAGAACAAAATTAAGATGGAGAAAAATTATATATTATGCTGATTTCTCCAAATATGGGTGATGCTAACAGGAACCTTGAGGCACAATTAATGCATGAAATTTAGGCATTCATTATTTCTCTTTCAAAGGTTAGATCTCTAGGACTTTGTGACCAAAGTCCTAGAAAATGGGCAGCTTTACCTTCCAGCATCATGTTATGCCTTCTTTCAACATGTGTGGGATAGAGAAGCTGTCACAGAAATGTGTAAATGTTGTCAATTCCAAAAGGGCAAGAGACAGAAAATCTTTGCATGAGGAAGGAATTTCCCAAGAGCAAATCTGGCTGCCAGTAGACAAAAATTTTTAACTGTTGCTAATAATTCAAAGCATGTGAGCAAGAAATCAAACTGATTAAAATAGACCTAGGTGTTGGTAAAGTAATATAAATCCCATAATTTACCCAGAAAACAGTAAACAGAAATGTAACATGCTGAAATATTATATAATTGTTTTTACATTTAATTGCCATTTTTAAATGAAAGAAATATCAATAATTATTTTTATAAACCAAAAGAGTATTTTAATATTTCAAAAATGTTTTATAACTACACAGGGTTACAAAAACCCTTGTTTGGAATAGAGCAATACCAATTCCTAGTTCTGCATAAAGAACTTATTTCAATTCATGTCTCACATACCCTGCTTATTCTGACTATAGAGGACATGGACTGATTTGGGGATGTCAAGCAAGTAAGAGTAGTGATTTATCTCTCTGGTAGCCATTGGAAAGTCTTGTTTTGTACAGATTCTTGACATCTGTGTTTCTAGTGGACCAAACAGGATTCAGCTGTGACACAATCCCTGTGGTTGCTCATTATCACGAGTACGCGTAAGAACACTCATTGTTGAAAGCGACTCGTGAACCTGAGCTGCCAGGAAGTTGGTTTCTCCAGCCTACTTGGAGCTAATGAGCAAGAGACAGAGAACAAACTCTGCCTTGCTTCTGAGAGCACATCTAATTCAAGACCTCTGTGAGTCTCACCTGCTCTGTGGATTGCCTACAGTCAGATATTATGAAGACTTGTAAGTTAGTGAGATGCAAGTCCTGGTTGCCTGTCAATAGCAATACTCCCATTCTGATTTTCAGCACTAACACTCTGACACCTTGCTCTTAAATTCATTTACTACTTTTTAGAAAGCAAAATGAAAATCACATTCATATGACAATTTTCATCAAAATAAATTGACAGGAGAGCATGTGAGATCACATTTAGACTTTTTTTCAATAAATGCATCATGGTGTAAAAAATGTGTATCATCTGAGTACAGCTAAAATCAAACAAAAGGAGAAAATGGGCAAGCCATATACATTCAAGATCCAAGCTATATCTTTTTGTCAATTCAGGAAAGAACAATTTCCCTCTAGTACTCCTTGCAATTTTACTATATGGCTTGGAAACTGCTGTTCTGCATACAGGGTGTGCAATAAACTGGCCAAAGCATGCTGGCATCCCTTTTCAATACACATAAAAATCAAGATGCTTTCCAAACTGAAAAAAAACCCAAACCAAACCAAAATGGGGGTATTTCAGAACTGTTTTGTTTTGTAATTGACCAGAAAAATTGAAAGTCAGCAATCTTATTCAAAAAGCAAATTGTCATGGTAGCATGGGATTTCTGTTCAGCTGCAGATGCCACTGGTTCAAGCTGAATCACAGCTTCATTATGCCATTTTCTAACAGGAGACAAAGGATAAGAAGGTAGATTATCTGATTCTATAACTGCAAAGTGTATTACACAACCTCTTAATAGAACTTTTAGTCCTAAACCAAGGGATTAAAAAAACCCAAATCATTATAAATACTTTAAAAACCATTTTTTTAAAATAGGGTCAAAAATTCTGTATTATATACTAGAAAATAATAAATACAGCCATATGCTAGTATGCTGTTGAAACTATTAGTGATACTTTGACCAGCTGAAGGCAGGCAGCTCTCTCAAAGGTAACAATCACTGAAATAGCCACAAGATGGAGCCCAAAGGATCTTCCAAACTGTAGTTAATATTGTCATTCTGCATCAGATTAAGAGTTAAATAAGGTGATTTTAATGAAAAACACTCTACAGAAATCTTGAACTGCAAACAAGATGTTTTTCAATGGAAATCCACTCTTCTGTTTTCAATTTGATAGATGGCTACCCATGCGCTGGTGAACTTTGATTTCCCATGCAAAAATAACAAGTCCCCAGCATTTTCAAGGAATATTGATGAACATATAATTTATATTAAATAAAGAAAATTCTCTGAAAATATTACATCAGATAAGTGTTAAATTTGCTTGACCTCTGTTTGCCTTGTCTCAACTATCTTAGGGGCATAAATAATTTATGTCCCTTTTACAGGGTTATGTGAGACTTAACAATCTGTAGAACCTCTGTTTAGTGATGGACAGAACTTCCCATGTTGCAGATATTTCAGTGGGATAAGACATGACCCATTCAATATAAGCAGGTAGA